ACGAAGCACTGATGCAAATAACTCTTCCCATTGTCGAAGTACTGGTAGCAAACGACGCATCGTGTTTTTGAACAATTATGCGAAGGCATTGACTGCTTTGCGACACAGGCAGAACACGTGGGGCATTGTCTTAAACTTGCGCAAGGTGAGGTGTGAGCATCCTTTTAAAGTTGAGTTTTCAACTTCATTCCACACGTTGCGCACGGAGCTATCCCTCCTACTTGATAAGAATCGAGGCGATCGCATCTATTTTTACACCCAGCTTGTCTACACAATACATTAAAGTCCTGAGGGTCTACATAAAAGTCCTGAGGGTTGTAAGAGGACGCCATGTTCTTGCAGTTGAAGGCAAACGCGTCAGTCAATCAAAAGTTGTGCGTGTGCGTTTGTGTGATTACATCCAGAGTCCTGAAAAACGACGAAAATTTTTTTGCGGTTTAAAAAAAAGCTCTCATTGAGATGTAAAAATGATGTGTCTGAACAAAGTACTGTGGCTCGGATGGTTCAGTGGAGGCGACGATCCTTCAGACGACGATTTTACTCACATCGCGCAGGGATCGAACTGGATTATCTTCGCTCTTTGTTTTTACAAGGGTTGGGTCAACTGCGTAGAGCACTACTAGTTCTCGACCTTTGTTTACTTTTTGAAAACTTGAGTTTTTAAAGGAAGATTTTGTCATTTGTTGGCTATTATCACGTTTGATTCGACGCTTCGGGTCTTGGAATACCTCAAGTCACAAAAAAAGTGTCGAATCTAAAATCTAATTAACAAATAGTTAGTTAGGATGGTTGGTAATAGGCAATCAATTTGTATCATTCGAATGGTCGTTTGTTATCTAACTAATTAGTTTAAGAATAATTAGTTTAAGAATAATGCATCTTCTGAGATCGTCCATCCGACGGTCAACTCCAGCTCTTGGTGAATTTTGGCTGCTGGCACGGCGTTCATTTCAACTCTAAAAAGCAGCCGAACATTAAGTATCGTTCGATTGATTGATCATTCAATGAGAAAGACAGTCCGTCAAAATGATAAATTAAAAAGATTAACACCTCAACATTAATGATTCTTTTGTGCATAAACTTCCAAAAAGACATTGTTAACTGAAACAATTAGCGTGAACAGTATCCTTAGGGAATAGATCTCCCCGATTCTAGACAAAAACAAGTTTATTGCTTGTTACCTTTTCGCAAAGTTGGTTTCGCAACCTGCATGTGCGAATAGAACGTCGAATGGACGCAAATGGAGATCTCAGCTCCTGAACTTCTTGTTTCACACAGGTTCAAAACTGTTCGCAATCAATTCTTTTCTCTACAGCTCGATTTAGAGTTAGTGCTTTGACTTTTATTTAAATAAAATCAGTTATGCTTTGAGTATTGAAGCCACTCAAAGAATAAAAATTATGTCCACCACTACAAAATTTGAAAATCTGAATATTTTCCTGAATTTCGTCTGTCATGTCTCCCAAATTGTTTCCTAACGGGGTATCTCTGTTCTGTGTCCTTGTCGGCGACTCTGTTTCATCAATGTACATAATGCTGTCTGAATCACAAAACAGTACATTTGTCGTCTTTTTCACTCGCTGCATGTACCTGTAGAGGACAGTGCGTGCATGAGTCGTTGTATATCCAGCCAGCACATTATTGGATTTTCGGGCAGAATCTGCAGCATCATCAATATCTTTATATTGGAGATACATCAAGTCATTTCCCACAAGGGTTGCAACTAACACTCTCGTGGTGTTAGATGTGAAATATCCAATACTATCAGTCTAATTATCGATATATCGAGTTTTTGGCAAGTTTTCTTGCATTCCAAGATATCCCCACATGGAATTCAAGAGAATTTTCGAAATAAAACGGAGACCTTAATTGTAACTAATTTAGTCAGGATACAATTTGACGCCTTCATTGAGTTCAAAACGCTGCAAAAATTCTGTTTCATGAAGACACAACTTCCCCTGCTGGCAATCACAAGTTTTTGGCCATCTACTTGCTTCAGTTTTAATTTTCAAAAAAATCTTATTAAATTCTTTAAAGAGATGGCTGCTTCGTTTTTCACGGTTCAATGTCCACACTTCTACGACATCTTAGTTCGGTAGCCGTTCAATAACGCTTATTTGAGTTCAACAGTTACAAAGCGAGATAATTGTTTCCATGTCTGCATTCATGTTGCAATAGGTTCTCGCAAATTGTTTTGGCTTTTCTGTCGGCAGCAGATTCTTCGACGCAGCTTCTTCAAAGAAGGAAGAAAAGCTTCGAAATAAACTTGAAAGGGAGGACAGGTATCATAAGATTTTGGGGCGGCAAGACAAGACATTTAATGAGTACAAACCAATCGTCTTTTAGGATTTTATCTTCAGCTAAACTTCTCGGTTGACAGTCGTCGTCGTCATTTTCCTTTCTACCTCAACGAAAACAGGTGCAATTAAAATCTCTGATGACTGACCAACGGGGTAGGGACAGTTTGCGGTAACGTAGGGATAAAGAGAACAAATTTCAACGTAACCAAAGTGTTGATTTTTACCTTGTTTTGTCCAATGAAGGTAAAAACTTTCAGTCCTACCGCCCAAAAAGCATCTCGTGCACTTAATGGTGTGTAGTAGACGCTTTTAGAAGCAATCGATTTCAGCATTCTAAAAAAGGAAAGCGCTGCGCTGTTGTCGCTATTGTTACGTAAATCTGTTAATAAGGTACGATTGTCATACTCGCAAATGTGCTCACATTCCTCAACGATGAACTCGTATCCGCCTGTTGTTTTGTACGTGGTTTTTCTAATTGATCTGCTTTTGTAGAAAATTAACGATCTTTATATGAAGTTAGCCACAATTCTTCCATCGTCATCCCGAGCTTTTTGTTGAAAACCTTACGGTTTGGAAAACAATTTGGACACCTGTGATAAAAGCAACCAAAAAAATTCATAGATAGTTGCAAGATGCAGAGTCTTTTTCTTCTTCGACGACAAAGAGCTAGGACTAGACAAGCGATCTTCACGATCATCAAATTTTAACATCATCCCGTCAACTTTTACTTGGACCAAATTGTTGCTCTCCGACATTTCGGTTACTGATATTAGTTTTGCCTGATTTGTTTAAAAAAAAACAATTTTGTAGTTACCTATTTCGGCTTTCTCGCTTTCCCGACTTTCAATCCAGGTCAATTGCAGCGGAATTGACCTTTTCAAAGTTGCGTTTTCTAATATAGATAAATAGCTATAAATTATTCGAAATACTTCATTAGTAAATATTGAATTTGCTCTTTGTGAATTTTGGTGTTGTATACTTTTTATATATTCTGTGAATACTTTTGAAAATTCTATATCTACGTCGTCTGTTTGAAGTAGATAAATACCATGAAATTTACTTGGGCTCTGTAATTCTATGGTATAGATTCCGTACATTAATCTATAAAGTTCTTGTAAATGACTTGTTTCTGATTCGGAGAATGCGTTTCTTTGTTTTGAAAATCTTTTTCGTGTAATTTGTCTTTGTTTGCTTAAAATTTTTCGTTTAATTGTTTGTCGTTTAGTTCTAATATATCCTGTTGACTGTCTGTGTGGAGTGATTACGAGATCATATTTCTCGTTGTTTATTTCGCAGTTGTGTAATATGATTGTTTGTTTATTTCCTAAATTTTCTAGTGACATAAGGTTTAGGATGACGGATGCAATATTTGGATTAGTGATTTTTAAAGCCTAATTTATTAGTTCTTACGATTTTTTCGGGTTAGCCTAACTTGGGTGTTTTGGGTTGGAGAGAAAAGCATATATCGATTGCGAAGAATGATTGTTACTTTCTCGTGGCTAGTCTAAGTTAAGGTGTTAACTTACTTAATCTTACTTAGGGGGAATGATTGTGTTCAAGGGTTGGAGAATAGTAAATCGATCCACAAGGTTCAGGTATATTTAGAACACAAGTAGTTCGTTAGATACTATTTTAAACTTACTGAGTTTAAGTATTATCCTGGGTGAGGTAAGGGGGGGGGGGGGGGTCAAGTGACGGATGAATAACCGAAGCTCTTCACTGTTTATCCTAATTAGAATGATTAGTGATATTGAAAAAATTCTGTTAGTCCTGGGTTGGATAGTGAATCGACGTTTCAGGTCGTTGGACACTATGCTAACTGAGTGGGGGAGAACAAAATTGTTCTATTTGATCCAAGGATAAGCCTTGATGATCAAGATATAAATTAATGATATAAAATTTAGTTTGAACAAAAATGAAATGGAGATCCAAGGAAAGCCTTGATGATCTGTTTAGTTTAAAAGGTTTAATATAGGTAAAAGTAAAAATTAGAATAGGCCTTTTTAAAGTAATTAAAAGTTTTTATTGATAGGAATGTTTAGTTTTTGATGATGTTAGTGGTTTATGATTTGTTTGTTATGTTAAGGTGATGAAGCTGAGATGAAGAAAATATTTGTGTATTACTAACAATTTGTGTATTTAGTAACTAATTTTAATTTTTTATTTCAATTAACATTCTTTTTAGATATCTTTTCAATTTACTGCAGTTTTAAAGAAACGATTAGAGATCTTTTTATCAATCGTTATTGTACAATAATAGGTTTAGCGCCTGTAATTATCGGTGAAGAATTCTCTTCAACTATACTATGTCTGCAAATGAAAATCTAAATTCATTGCTTATAAAACTCTAAAAATAAAAGTTTGTGTTGGCTTTTGCCGTACGACCATGAAACTTATGGGTAAGTTCCGTTGTAGTCGTATATCGTCTCTTGTACGAGGTCTTCTTCCAATAAACACTATCCACACAAAGCAGAGAACACATGCTTTGCTATTTCCAATTCTACAGGGAAATTTCCGTGTAAGAGAACACTTTCAATAAACACTTATTTGCGAGTTAGGGTAGGAAAAAATAAGGTTCGTACTAACACACAAAGCTCGCAAGCTGGTTTGTGTAAAAATTTTATTGCATGGCTTTTCTTTTCTTATCGGAACGCTTTTTTAACCAATCTCACAGTAGTCATCAACAAGAACTCTACGTACGCTTCAGCAAATGAATGCCTCGTTTGAGAATGGCCAGCTGCAGGCGGTGGAGGCTGTTTCCATTTTTGGAGTGCCATTTGGCCCAGATGGTGTAGTTCTTCCTGAGAGTTGCGTCCCCAGTACAAGGCACATCGCACAACACCCGATCGTACATCAAGATCTTTGCTACAACACCACCATGCAAAATCAGATTAATATAACCAATTTGTGTTGTACTACATAACCACAAAAACGTGAATGCAACAAGAATAATTAAATAACAACGGTCTCGAATGCCATTTTCCCCTGCGTGCTCAACATAAAGGGATCGGGGTGGCTCAAGAGTAGACTCGGCTTTCTATGTGATAGCACGTTTACTAAAAAAAAACTGCAGTTAACTTAATGGGAAAAACTTTTTATCCCAAAGACAGATAAAAAGATTTTAAAAATAGATGACACTCAAAAAAAGCTAATAAGAATTCGAAAGATATTACCATTGAAGGAACTAAAACACAGGCGAATCGGCGCTCCGCACCACTTGCGACTCAACACAAACCGAAAAAAAACTTGAGAAAATGAAAATTGCTCAAAAAAACACGGTGAAAAAATAATTTCGTTTGTCTTGATTAAAAAACTAAGAGACTCAGCTGAAGCGGGAGATACCTGTTTGATATTTTTCGAATTTGCTATACTGAAGCGATGGAAAACTTCAAAATTGGACTTTGCCCAAAACCTTAGTTCTCACAAGCTTTGATTGTGTAAAAACTGGATCAATAGGTAAACGTTTTACTTGGCTGGAAAACCTGATTTATAAATTCCATTATCGAAATTAGAAGTCAATCAAGTTTTTTGTGACATTTACACTTTCTATGTTCAAAAGTAGGGTTTGCCTTTCTTTGAACAAAAGAAATGATCTGAACCTAAAAACTCAAAAACTAGCTAAACAAAACCAATTTAAAACAATTTGAGAGATTATCTTGCATTTTTAATTTCATGATCGCGTAATGCATCTTCGTGTTATTTTATAGTTAGAATCAACATTTTTTGATAATAGGTTTTTGTCGGTACTAATTATCGCTAGTTGCGTTTAGTAACGAACGCTCTACGCATCGTCTTATTTTTCAAAGAACTACCATTTGTCGCTTTCGACAAAATGTCGACCTGCCTTAACATGTACTGTATGTTAGGTGATATATACAATTCGTAAAATAAACCGATAAGGCTTTTGCTGGGTTGTTTTTAATTTAATGAACTTGTCGACATAAAATCGGTAGTTTTCGGATTGTTTTTGTCGTGATAATGGAACGTATAGGGTTCTCTACACGTTGAAACTTTCCAGACGCGCCTATAACTGCTCGGTATCGTACAGACCCTAGTTGATAACACTCTCAAAAGGATTTGGTTTTAGAAGTTTATTTTGGAAAAAGATTGTTGTTTTTCCCTTGGATAGATGCTACACATTTTCGAAGGACAAGTTTTTCCATTTTTGACGACACATGACCGCCAATGTAGCCGTCTCGAAGAGATCAATTTTATTTTATTATGTAAAAATAGCTAGGTAGCGTTGGAACCGGGAGCAAAATTGCGCTGAGGTGTTTTTAACATAATGAACTTGTCGACATAAATCGGTGGTTTTCAGATTTTTAAGTCTTTATAATGGAAGGTATAGGGTTCTCTACACGTTGAAACTTGTCAGACGCGCCTAGAATCACTCGTTATCGGTTAGACACTAGTTAATAACACTCTCAGGAGGATTTGGTTTATCTAATAGGTCACTTTTTGTAAAAAGATAGTTTTTTCCTATGGATAGATGCTACACATTTTCGAAGGATAAGTTCTTCCATTTTTGACGACATTTGACTGCCAACGTGGCTGTCTCGAAGAGCTCAAAATCATTTAATTATGTAAACCTAGCAAGGTAGCGTTGAAACCGGGAGCAAAGTTTTGCTGGGGTGTTTTTAAGTTAATGAACTTGTCGACATAAAATCGGTGGTTTTCAGATTTTTTTAAGTCTTGATAAAGGAAGGTATAGGGTTCTCTACACGTTGAAACTTGTCAGACGCGCATAGAACTACTCATTGTCGGTTAGACACTAGTTAATAACACTCTCAGGAGGATTTGGTTTATCTAATAGGTCACTTTGTAAAAAGATAGTTTTTTCCCTTGGATAGATGCTACACATTTTCGAAGGATAAGTTCTTCCATTTTTGACGACACCTGACTGCCAACGTGGCTGTCTCGAAGACCTCAGATTCATTTAGTTATGTAAACTTAGCAAGGTAGCGTTGAAACCGGGAGCAAAGTTTTGCTGGGGTGTTTTTAAGTTAATGAACTTGTCGACATAAAATCGGTGGTTTTCAGATTTTTTTAAGTCTTGATAAAGGAAGGTATAGGGTTCTCTACACGTTGAAACTTGTCAGACGCGCATAGAACTACTCATTGTCGGTTAGACACTAGTTAATAACACTCTCAGGAGGATTTGGTTTATCTAATAGGTCACTTTGTAAAAAGATAGTTTTTTCCCTTGGATAGATGCTACACATTTTCGAAGGATAAGTTCTTCCATTTTTGACGACACCTGACTGCCAACGTGGCTGTCTCGAAGACCTCAGATTCATTTAGTTATGTAAACCTAGCAAGGTAGCGTTGAAACCGGGAGCAAAGTTTTGCTGGGGTGTTTTTAAGTTAATGAACTTGTCGACATAAAATCGGTGGTTTTCAGATTTTTTTAAGTCTTGATAATGGAAGGTATAGAGTTCTCTACACGTTAAAACTTGTCAGACGCGCCTAGAACTACTCGTTATCGGTTAGACACTAGTTAATAACACTCTCAGGAGGATTTGGTTTATCTAATAGGTCACTTCGTAAAAAGATAGTTTTTTCCCTTGGATAGATGCTACACATTTTCGAAGGAAAAGTTTTTCCATTTTTGACGACACATGACCGCCAATGTAGCCGTCTCGAAGAGCTCGTATTCATTTAATTATGTAAACCTAGCAAGGTAGCGTTGAAACCGGGAGCAAAGTTTTGCTGGGGTGTTTTTAGGTTAATGAACTTGTCGACATAAAATCGGTGGTTTTCAGACTTTTTTAAGTCTTGATAAAGGAAGGTATAGGGTTCTCTACACGTTGAAACTTGTCAGACGCGCCTAGAACTACTCGTTGTCGGTTAGACCCTAGTTGATAACACTCTCAAAAGGATTTGGTTTTAGAAGTTTATTTTGGAAAAAGATTGTTGTTTTTCCCTTGCATAGATGCTACACATTTTCGAAGGACAAGTTTTTCCATTTTTGACGACACATGACCGCCAATGTAGCCGTCTCGAAGAGATCAATTTTATTTTATTATGTAAAAATAGCTAGGTAGCGTTGGAACCGGGAGCAAAATTGCGCTGAGGTGTTTTTAACATAATGAACTTGTCGACATAAATCGGTGGTTTTCAGATTTTTAAGTCTTTATAATGGAAGGTATAGGTTCCTCTACACGTTGAAACTTGTCAGACGCGCCTAGAATCACTCGTTATCGGTTAGACACTAGTTAATAACACTCTCAGGAGGATTTGGTTTATCTAATAGGTCACTTTGTAAAAAGATAGTTTTTTCCTATGGATAGATGCTACACATTTTCGAAGGATAAGTTCTTCCATTTTTGACGACATTTGACTGCCAACTTGGCTGTCTCGAAGAGCTCAAATTCATTTAATTATGTAAACCTAGCAAGGTAGCGTTGAAACCGGGAGCAAAGTTTTGCTGGGGTGTTTTTAAGTTAATGAACTTGTCGACATAAAATCGGTGGTTTTCAGATTTTTTTAAGTCTTGATAAAGGAAGGTATAGGGTTCTCTACACGTTGAAACTTGTCAGACGCGCATAGAACTACTCATTGTCGGTTAGACACTAGTTAATAACACTCTCAGGAGGATTTGGTTTATCTAATAGGTCACTTTGTAAAAAGATAGTTTTTTCCCTTGGATAGATGCTACACATTTTCGAAGGATAAGTTCTTCCATTTTTGACGACACCTGACTGCCAACGTGGCTGTCTCGAAGACCTCAGATTCATTTAGTTATGTAAACCTAGCAAGGTAGCGTTGAAACCGGGAGCAAAGTTTTGCTGGGGTGTTTTTAAGTTAATGAACTTGTCGACATAAAATCGGTGGTTTTCAGATTTTTTTAAGTCTTGATAATGGAAGGTATAGAGTTCTCTACACGTTAAAACTTGTCAGACGCGCCTAGAACTACTCGTTATCGGTTAGACACTAGTTAATAACACTCTCAGGAGGATTTGGTTTATCTAATAGGTCACTTCGTAAAAAGATAGTTTTTTCCCTTGGATAGATGCTACACATTTTCGAAGGAAAAGTTTTTCCATTTTTGACGACACATGACCGCCAATGTAGCCGTCTCGAAGAGCTCAAATTCATTTAATTATGTAAACCTAGCAAGGTAGCGTTGAAACCGGGAGCAAAGTTTTGCTGGGGTGTTTTTAGGTTAATGAACTTGTCGACATAAAATCGGTGGTTTTCAGACTTTTTTAAGTCTTGATAAAGGAAGGTATAGGGTTCTCTACACGTTGAAACTTGTCAGACGCGCCTAGAACTACTCGTTGTCGGTTAGACACTAGTTAATAACACTCTCAGGAGGATTTGGTTTATCTAGTAGGTCACTTTGTAAAAAGATAGTTTTTTCCCTTGAATAGATGCTACACATTTTCGAAGAATAAGTTCTTCCATTTTTGACGACACCTGACTGCCAACGTGGCTGTCTCGAAGAGCTCAGATTCATTTAATTATGTAAACCTAGCAAGGTAGCGTTGAAACCGGGAGCAAAGTTTTGCTGGGGTGTTTTTAAGTTAATGAACTTGTCGACATAAAATCGGTGGTTTTCAGATTTTTCAAGTCTTGATAATGGAAGGTATAGGGTTCTCTACAAGTTGAAACTTGTCAGACGCGCCTAGAACTACTCGTTATCGGTTAGACACTAGTTAATAACACTCTCAGGAGGATTTGGTTTATCTAATAGGTCACTTCGTAAAAAGATAGTTTTTTCCCTTGGATAGATGCTACACATTTTCGAAGGATAAGTTCTTCCATTTTTGATGACACCTGACTGCCAACGTGGCTGTCTCGAAGAAGTCAAATTCATTTAATTATGTAAATCTAGCAAGGTAGCGTTGAAACCGGGAGCAAAG